TTGGTTTACTGAGTTTATGGGGAGGGGGAGAGTGGGAGGAAATTTACCAGAGGAAATAGTTTAATTTTGGAAAGTACCAAAAACTCATGTTGAATTTCTCAACTTAATTTGGGGGGTCCTTAAAATAGAGGGGGGTAAAACAGGAGAGCATCAAAGAGCTCAGAGAAGGGATGGCTTACAGAATAGAAATCGATTTCCACAGGGCCCAAAACTGACTCAGCAGAGGCAGTGAAACTCTTAGGATGTCCCCTAATAACCATAATTCACATTTCTATAGAGTTTTAACATTTACAAAGGGCTTTCCTCACAACAGCCCTATGAAGTGGGTAGGACAGACAGCGATCATTATTCTCATTTTACAGATGAGGAAACTGAAGCTCAGAGAGCTGAAGTGATTTGCACAGGGTATCATAGCAAATAAGTGTCAAAACCAGAACTTGAACACAGATCTTCTGACTCTAAATATTTTGACTAAAGGTCTAGCTAGCACTCTTTGCATTCTACCACTGATTGTCAGTGTAGGAGAGCACATGAAGTTGGAAAGACCAGTCCACCTGGACTGGCATAAAATGGAAGAGTCTAAGGACTGAAGAACCAAAGCAATTGCTATAGAGCAAAGTTTGATCCCCAAACTCTGGCTTTTTTTGTGATCCTGTAGGGGTCCAGCTAGATTTTATAACTTGTTATGTTACACTTAGAGGAAGAACTATATTTTAACAAGCAGGACCATAGAGAAAAAGCAGCATTTAAACCAAAAGAATTAATTTCTATGCTTAGAATTTTAGGCAGGGGTAGGATGAATATTTGAGGTGGCAAATTTCTGGTGCCCCTCACATCCCACCAGAAAGTGATAACCTAATTCAACCTTTATTAGAATATAATGATCTTGAGGACAGGGATCCTATGCTATTATATCTTAAAGCACTGAGTATGTTGACTTGCCCGTGGTAGGTACTTAATAAATTTACAGTGGATGGATGATTGGATAGATGGATGCTGACCCAGCCCAATCATCTCTCTACAAAGTTGTGAAATTGGTTCCATTTGTTTTAGATATTCTTTTATCCTTGTCTCTGTACCTCTCTTGTCCCTTCCAGGAACTGGGAGTCAGAATTCCAGTGTTTGTTAGAAGGTAGATCTTTCACCATCCTGCCTTTAGATATTTGTTCACTCTATTCCCTAAATTTGGAAAACTCTCCCTCCCCACCATAGCCTACTTGTTGAAATCTAATCCATTTTCAAGACCCTGCTAAAATCATGCTTTACCCAGAAAATGTTTGCTGATCCCTCCACCTGGAAAAACAGGAAAATAATTGAGTTTGCTTCTTATTAGTTATGTTATCTTAGATACAACCTCTCTGAGCTTTAGTTTCATAATGTATTAAAAATACGATAATAATACTCACTTTGTCTTCCCCACAGGGCTTTTGTAAGGATTAAATGAGAGAATGGAGGCGCTTGCATACTGTAAAGGGTTACAGCAACAAAAGGCATTATTATTAGACTTAGGCTTCTAGGGAGTCTAAGATCCTAGGGGTCGCCTCCTTCACAAGCTGGTCCTCCCTAAGAAATGTTCTGTGTCCCAGACCTTACCTTTGTCCCCTTCCCTTTTCACTTCCTGTTAACATATTGTCCTCCCTCATTCGAATGTAACCTTCTTGAGGTCAGGGACTGACTTTCTTTCTGCTTGTATTTGTTTTCCCAGTCTTAGGACAGTGTTTGCCACACAATAATCACTTATATGTTAGTTTACTAATTGGCTGACCTATAAAACAAAAGGATTAGACTAGAGTAGGGATTCTGAGGTCCAAGGACTTATTCTGTTAAAAAAAAAAAGTATATTCTTATAGCTGTATTTCAACATAATTAGCCTCTTCGAGGCTAATTGTTTTGAGAAGGGGCCCATGTGAGCGGCTTGACTGCAAAGGAGTCCATGACACAAAACATGTTAAGAACCTTGGAACAAGATGGTGTATATGGTCCCCTCTAGCTTTAAAAGCCTATAGTCTAATGACCATTCCAACTCTAAAATTGCCTGCAAGGTTAGATCTTGGAGATACAAAAACCAAATTAAATACTCCTTACCTTCCAGAATCTTACCTTCCCTCTATTAGAGAGAGGGATGGTATGAGCTATATTCAGGTAAGTAAATACAAGATAATTTAAGGAAGAAGAAAGCATAGAGATAGCACTCCAGATGAACCTTAAAGTCAACTAGGAATTTGAAGAGGTGGAGGTAAAGAGGAAGGCAATGGGGACAGCCTAAGCGAGGGCACAGAGCAGAGACCAGTTTGACTAAAACACAAAATGTGTGACTGGGGAGTAAAATGAAATCTATTGAAAGGTAGTCAGGAGAAGCCAGACTGTTCAGGGCCTTAAAAGCCAGTCTGAAGAGTCTGTACTTCATCTGGAAGAAAGAGATAATTGGGGGACAGGAGGCCTGTGTCACTGGATGGCAGAGTCCGTGGGGCAGAGGTGGGGGGTGGGCAGAGCACAGAGGGAGGGGAAGGTATAAGACTGGAAAAGGAGGGAAAGAAGGTTATGAAGGGTTTTGAATGCTAACCAGACTATCTTATATTTGATCCAGGAGCCTCGAGAACAGCCAATGAAGATTTCTGAGGATGGAGAAACATGGTCAGTCTTGTGTCTTAGAAGTACTCATTTGTAGTTGTTTGGAGGATCAGTTGAAGAAAAGATGATCTTCCAACTCTCATATTATATGTTCTAACATTTTATGTTTTGATTTTTTTCCCCCGGCTCTAACCTTCAGTGTCTTAATGTTCTGTGTTCTTAGGTCCATTTCCAGGTCTAACATTCTATGATTCTATAACCTTGACATTCTGTAAATGGACTATTTATAGCTGTATCTTAAAAGCAACTGTTGTTTAGGAGTGAATATTAGCAAGTTCATTTCAGGGGAAAGGAAGGAAGGGAGGGAGAGAGGGAAAGAGAGAAGGAAGAGAAAGAAAAAGAGAAAGAAGGAAAAGAAGAAAGAAGGTAAGAGCGAGAGAAAGAAGGTAAGGAAAAAAGAGAGAAAGAAGAAAAAGAGGAAGAAAGAAAAGAAAGAAGGAAGGAAGGAAGGAAAGAAGAAAGAAAAGGAAGGAAGGAAGGAAGAGAGAAAGAAAGAAAGAAAGAAAGAAAGAAAGAAAGAAAGAAAGAAAGAAAGAAAGAAAGAGAAAGAAAGAGAAAGAAAATGCAACCAGCTGGCAATCTGTTTATGTTCTGGGAAAGATACACCATCCAGTCCCCCATAAACACTTTTTATTTGGTTTGGTTTGATGAGTGTTTTTCATCTCTAGTGGATGTTGAAGAACCCAGGGCCTTTGGAATACCAGTTGGATTCTCTCTGAGCTATTTTCTTCCTTGTTCTCATGAGAAATAGAAATAGTCAAGGTATTTTGGTGGCCTTCCAACATCTATTGCCTTGCACACTAATGAGAATTGAAGATATCATTATAGTTCCAGAGACAAGATATGTTTGTTTGTTCCTAGTTTCCAAAAGAAACATGGAATGGGGAGCATTTATCCTGGCTTTTTTTTTTTACAAAGTAGACAACATCCCAATTAAATGATAAGTCTCAGAGGAAAGTTCGATTGTATTCCTTAATCCAATTGTTCTCTGATCTGATGAATCTACATCCTCAGTCTTCTATGATTTCAAAGAGCTATGTAAAATTCTCCAAAATTCCCCATCTCAGGAAACAAATTATTTAAATTAATTATGTTTATTTTCTAAAGTCTCCACAATAGTCCTCCAAAGACTGTGGGATATGTGTTGGACCCCTGAGTTCAAAGGGATCTTAGAGGACATCAAGCTCTCTATCCACCAAGAAGACCTAGATTAAAATTCTGCTTCAAATATTTACTATCTCTATAACCCTGAATAAGTCACAGCCTCTGGGCCTCAGTTTTCTCACCTGCAATTCAGAGATAATAATACAACCTCTTGCATAGGGTGGTTGTGAAAATTAAATAAGACAACATATGTAAAATGTTTTGTAAACCTTAAGAGTGCTGTAGAAATGCTAGCTAACACGATCATTTTTAAGGTTCGCAAAGCACTTTACATATATTTTCTCAAAGGCTTTGCCAGAGGAGCTCAAGGTGGGCCAGGATCTACCAAGGAAAGGCTTCATTAAACAGGCCTGATGACAGACTGGATGTCTGTCTTTAAGGTCAGCTCAGCTCAGTGTGAAAACTCAGCCCTAACGAACTGAACTCTAGGTGAATTTATTTGGCCATAGCCTGTCATGATGACCATCTACTAAAGTTTTGGGGAAGGGATGGGAAAGGGATTCCTGTCTGCCTAGCCAACAGGAAGATCCACACCAATGATATCATGGCTCCTTGGAAGTATTGAAAAACAACATTGGGGGAGGGGGCAAAAAGGGCACTGGAGTCAGGTGACCTAGACAAGGGTGGGGAACCTTTGGTCTCAAGGCCACGTGTAGCCCTCTAGGTCTTCAAGCACAGCCCTTTGACCAACTCCAAACTCTCAGAACAAATCTCCTTAATAAAAGGATTTGTTCTGTAAAACTTGGACTCAGTCAGAAGGCCCCACCCAAGGACCTAGAATGCCACATGTGGCCTGGAGGCGGCAGGTTCCCCACCCCTGATGTAGCCCAGCTAGTAAGTGGCCAATTTTCTTGATCCACTCTCCTGACAGAGTCATAACGATAACTGGAATAAACTTTAAAATGTTCGTCATGGCTAGAAAAACCTTAGACATTTGCTAGTACAATCTCAGCATTTTACAAATGAGGAAACTGAGGCCCAGAGAGGAGAAAAAATTTTTCCCAAGATCACAGGGTTAATAAATGCCAGGACCCTGACTACAATCCATTTCTCTCCTGGCTCCTAGTCTAGTGAGCTCTTCACTGCAGTACTCAGCCAATAGGTTAGGCAACTAGCATTTAGACCCTACTACACGTTCCAGGCACAGTGTTAAGAGCTGAGGACACACAGCAAGGTGAAAAGCAGAACCTGCCCTTAAAGAGCTCACAGTCTCACTGAGAAGACAACAGGCAAACAGCTACATAACAAGATAGACAGACATAGGATAAAGTGGAGATAGCTGCAGAAGTAAGGCTTCTCGCAGACGGTGAACTTTAGTTGAGACTTGACGGAAACCAGGGAAGCTCCACTCAGTGGAGACACACAGACAGCAGCAAAGTAGGAGTTCGTGGAAAGGGGTATTTCCCTGGGGGTGGCAGGGAGTTGCTATCGACTAATAGGGCCCACACTCCCTCCTCCACATTCCCCAGCCCCTCCCTAGGGTCGCACCAGGCTCAGCCTCCCCCTTTTCAGGCCGCACCCTCCCGGAAGAGGGTTGGGGTGTGGGGGGAGGGGGAGGTCCACGGGGGAATCCTCTAGGAGCTGTGACAGGCAGATGGCTGAGATGCAAATACTCCAGGTAAGCCTGATCCCTGCAGGGGCAAAGGGTTGGGTAACAGCTCCCTCCGAACTCCTCCTTAGTCTCCCTGATCTGCTCTCAAGGCCGCTTCACAACAGCTGGCCTTCCCTTCAACCCCTCCGACTGAGCACGACTCCCCTCAACTTCCCCCCAATTTCCTTCTTACATCTGGACCCTAGTGGTCGTGCCCAGAGGCCACACCTGGACCCACGTTCCCCGGTTGAAGGCGTCCTCCTACACATCTGGACTTCTGCCTGTCTCGCTTGACTTCCCTAGTCACTGAACATCTGGTATCTTTCCGCCCACTGTCGACACCTCCCCCCCACCAACTCAACTTCCAGATCATGTCTGAGTGACCTTAATCTTTGATCCTATGTCCTCCCCACTGGTCTGCTGAGCTACCCCACTCTCCATGTGGATTAGGGCAGCTCCTGACAGGTGGTTACGACCTACCAAACCGGCAAAAATTTTAAGCTGAAACTGAAAATTAGTTGGTTTTTCTCATCGCCTGTGAGAACACTCTCTGCACTTGATCACAAGTACATATAATTACACCGCGCCCCTCCCCCACCCCAGCTCTCTCAGAATCTTTTTTTTTTTCCAGCTGCATAAATCTTTAACTTTTTCGAAATGGGAGGAAGACTGTCAGTTGACTGAAAGGGAAACCAAGGGTCAGGGGAAGGAAGAAATTTGGCCAAAATCACAGGGGAAACTAGAGCCAGAACTGAGACTGGAACTCACTACCCCTGCAGTGCTCTCTCCCCGGTGCCACAGGAGTGTCTCCTATAGTTCAGCACAGTTATTACATTGTTAGAGTTTTTCTTATTATGATTTAATACATTTTATCCCACATATTACTTAGATACAAGATGTCCCCAAAGTCCTAATGCAGTTTGAAGCTTTGATAGCCATGGGAACCATTTAAACTTTGAACTTCACTAAGACTTTGGGGACCACCTTATATCTGAGTATATGTTTGAAGGCTACACTAGTGCCACAGCCCCACTAGTGAGATCAGCATTCGCATTAATGAGTAATTTATCATATTTGTTACATGGTCATTTTTCATGTTTGCTATATTGCTTTGTTTCAGACACTTCATTTGGCGAATCAAAAAGTGTATGCTTTGTGTAAGTCTGTGCTAAATGGATACAGAGATAAAATCTGAACAATCCCTGGTCTCAAGGAGCTGAAGTAAGCCTGGGAAGCAGCAGGGCTACTTAGAATAGCAGTGGTAGTAGTTTAGGAGGAGGCAACATAGGCAGGTTTGTTATTGTTTAGTTGTTTTTCAGTTGTGTCTGATTTTTTGTGACCCCATTTGGGATTTTCTTGGCAAAGATACTGGAGTGGTTTGCCATTTCCTTTTGCAACTCATTTTACAGATTGAGAAACTGAGGGAAACAGCCTTAAATGACTTGCCCAGGATCACACAGCTAGTCGGTGTCTGAGGCTGGATTTGAATTCAGGTCTTCCTGACTCTAGGCCCAGCACTCTATCCACTGTGCCATCTAGCTGCCCACAGGCAGGCTACTTGTGTGCAAAATAGTGAGACCTGATTATCAGAATTGGAGAACCAATAAAATTAAATTGGTACATCACCCTGTCAGCTGATTGAGAGAGGATTTCCCAACCTAATCTACCACTTGAATCTTTAAATAGAAGGTTAGATCAGTAAGGCACTTTAGTATATAGAATTTTAGAACATGGAACAATAGAGAAGGACTTGAGGAGGGCCTGACTGAGAAGTAAGCAACTCTTCAGGTCTCCATAGAGTTCTTCAGCCCAGAAGGCATGAATAGAGCACATTCCCCATGGGGAAGATGCCAGGCCAGACTGAAGACATCAGTTGATCACTAGATCAACATTCCTTAGCTCTGTGACTCAACCTTTCTCTAGAGGGGTTAAGTCAATGGAATTGGGTAGCTCCAACTCAGAAGAGTTGCTGTGGACCCAGATTGACCTGTGCTGCCTCTTTCAATGGGAATGGGAAGGAAGCACTGCCTTCATCTTTGTGTAGATATTTTCCCTCCTCCACTCCATGAGAAGCATTAGAAAACGATGGCTTCACCTCTAAGATTTTTGTACTTTTTTGGAGAAAAAAAATAAAGATTTTAAACCAGAAAAACAAAGTAAACAACCAAGGGAGAAAGTGTTCCAGTCAAACTGAACAGTTAACTGGACCCTGAACTTGACATTCTATCTCTTGTGTGATACCCAAGCCCTTCTCCATGCCTGGAATATGCTCCCACTTCATCTTTGTCTTTCAGAGTCTTCTTTTCAAAATCTTCCTTCAAGGCTGAGTATGGGTGCCATCTTTGCTAAGAAACTCTCCTTGATCTTCCTGCTTTAGTTGTTAATGCCAGCTTCCTCCTCAAATTTTCCTAATGCACTCTTAAATCTTTTATTCCATTTATTTTCATACATTTTCTAAACTGGTTACTCTTAGTTTGTATGCCGCCCCTCCCCCCCATCTAACACGGTGTTTGTGCTTGACAGATACTTGTTGAATTGAATTCAAACAGAGAACATTAGAATTATGATAGATCATAAGACATCAAATGTCAGTGTGGGAAGGGACAGTCATTAGAATACAGAATGTCAGAGCTGGAAAGGCTCTTATGACATAAAATATTAGAACTGAAAGAGACCTTAAGCAGAGAATGACTGTCAGACCTAGAAAGGACTTGAGAAAACAGAATGGTAGAATTTGAATGTTAAGCACTAGATCTAGAAGGGACTTTAGAATACATTCATAGAATCACTATTTTAAAATATTCTTACTGCCACAGCCCCACTGGTGAGATCAGCCTTTGGCTGGAAAGTTCTCTTGGGTTACCTACTGAGTGGTTACCGGGAGTTCTGGCCTGATGCTGTCTGGGACTTTCTTAACCCAGCTCCTGCTCAGGGGAAATGATTCTGCTGAAGCAAGGAGGGGCTCCAGTCGAGGTTCTCAGATGGTATGACTCGGTTCCTAAAGTCTATGACAAATTTCTTTGTCTTTTTTTTTTTAATCAAAAGGAGGACTGGACTTTTTTTTCCTTTTTTTTTAACCATTGCAATTCAATGTCCAGGGGACTTTTCCACCCAGCAGGGTAATTTCTTACTCATCCTCATTAGACTCCCTCCCCTTTCCCCCCATGACATTTCACCATAGGCTAGGACTCATCAAGTGGCTGAATAAAGACATCAGCATCTCACCTCACAAGAGAGGAGGTGACAGGAATAACCTCTCCTCTAAGCACCTGCTTGCCTGCTCCCTGGGATCAGTGGGAATCAGAGGACCTGTCTCCATTTGCCAAGAGCTCCCCAGATGGCAGAGAACCCTACTGATAGTGCCCCTGTGGGCCCCTGCCTCACTCCTGATGAAAATGAATTCCCCTTTGGATACCCTATCAGTATCTGCCAGAAGACCCCTGAGCCCAAATACTTGTGCTGTGGTTGCCACAATGTTCTGAAGAAGGCCCAGCAGACCCTATGTGGCCACCGCTACTGTGCTGCCTGCCTCTCCTGGATAGTGAGGTGAGGGGGGAAGGGAAGGAATGGAGGAGGAACTGCCTGGTCTGTCCATCTGTCTTCTGTCTGTCTGTCTGTCTGTCTGTGTCTCCAGGACCCTAGGTGTCAGGGGAAGGGGAGAAAATGGATTGGTTTAAGGTTTTGACAGACAACCCTTTGAAGGGACACAATGGTCTCCTTCCCCCATTCTACATACTAATGCTTGAAACCAATACTGTAGTGTAACATTCCATGTTCCATGTTCCAACATTCTTTGTCTTTCAGCTGCTTCCAGATTTGACATTCTGTGTTCTGACATTTTATATTCTGAAGTCTTTTCCAACTCCATAATCTGGGAAATACAAATGTGTCTGAGAAAAGGAACTCACTGACTTTTATTCATACCCAGATATAAATGTCTGACATTAGCTCTCTTCCTCAGAGCTGAAGTCAAGAGATCTGTGTTCTAACCCTGGCTTTGCCACACGCTGTGTGGCTGTGAGCAAGTCATTCCAACCTGCTGAGCCTATTTCTCATATTATAGTTCTCATATTCTACAAGTTAACATTCAGCACTCAACGGTCCCCTCCAGCTCTAATGGTCAGTTTTCTAAGGTTTCTTTGTGCTCTAATGTGTGTTGTAATGTTCCTCTGAGCTCTAACATTCTGTATGTCTATAATTCTATGGAGTGATCAAAAGCCAGTATGGACTCTGTCCTCTATGTTAGGAGTTTAAACCTTCAAGTTTAATAATAATAATAATAATAATAATAATAATAATAATAACAACAACAACTAATATTTATATAATGCTTATGATATGCCAGGCACTGCACTTTGCCATTATTATCTTGTTTGATTCTAAGAACCCCCCTAACAAGCCCATGTGGGCTTTCTGGCCCACACTTTGGTCTTGTTTCGTAGCTTTGGTGCTTCTAAACCTTTCTGTGGACAGGGCCTAGAGCAGTAACCCATTTTTATCTGTTCCAAAGGGTGATTCCTAGGTTTTCCAGTTTGGGATCAGGACAGGTAATGAGAGGGACAAGCTGTCAATGTATAAACCAAACTTGTTGAATGTATTTTGCCAGGATCAGCAAGAACCCTATATGTTCAAGATGCAAGGAAGAGAATCCGCAGGCTGTGGGAGATGAAAGTTTCTTATCGGAAGAGAAGGTATGCTTGTGTGAAAAAAATCCCTATGCTGCCTTTATCCTGTATGGTGAAGAGTATGAGACAGGCCTTCCTTATCTCATCAACAGTCACAGGGCCTAAACTATCATTATTTATTCCTTTGGTAATCAAAGGATTTTTGTCCCTTATTAAAACCCAAAGCCCTCTGGAGGGGAAACACATTATCAAAAATGAATGTTTAGCTAAGAACAAAGAATTTTTGGGAATGGCACACAGTACTGGTTTCCTGAAAGGGAGGGAGAGAAAGTACAAAGAGAGAAGTGAGCACTGAAGAGGGGTGAGAGATTTACAATTGCTCCTCAAAGGAACTTTTCAATATGTTTATTTGTTTTAAGAGCAGGCAGAGTCTTTTGAGATAATCTATTCCAACTCCCTCATTTTACAGATGGGAAAACTGAGGTGCAGAGAAATGACATGACTTTTTCCCTCCTCACTACCTTCCCCTCCACATACATTAGAGTTCATCCCCCTACTTTAGCTGGTCTGGAATATAGTTTCTTGTACATAAGTGTAGGCTATGTCCAGGCTATCCCAGAGGAAGGCCAGATTAGAGTGGAGTTTAGAGTTAAGTAGGAGAGGGGACTCTGACAGAATCAGCAGTAGAACCTGAGTCTGCCAATTCTCAAGCTTAACTGCTAGCCTCAATGCTCTGCTCCCTTCCCGTTCTCTGGACTGCCATCTTATGTCCTGCTCTTTCAAAGCCCTGCTAGATGACTCAAGTTGTTCGTGTGTTAAATTATTCCCATGCTGAGGACTGAGTGACTAGTAATGGACTGTTCTTCCCAGGGAACCCAGTTGCATTTTGACAAAGGCCTCCAGTGCATTATCCCTCAAAGGTGACACTAGTGGGAGAAACCCAGGCACTGTGGTCAGATTGGTCAGAGAGAGATTTTGAGTATGAGGGTAAGGAGGAAGGGGCCAGTTTTAAAAAATAGAATCCAAATCACACTCAAGTCCATCATTTTGGATAGGGTGAGTATGAAGGAAACCAATGGTGCAATCTTAGTCACAGACCCTGTGGGGAAGTACCAGGGACTTCTTCGACTCCTGACCCAGGCCTGAACTTGGGTGAGACATTTAAGGATTTGAAGACAACAGGACTGTATTACAGTGTTTTGCGTAATGGATATTTCTTGGTCTCCAGCTTGTCCTTTAGAACAAGGCACAAAATGAAGGTCATCTCCAACTGCCTCTGAGGCTTAAAAAGGTTAAGCGACTTGCCCAATGTTATTCTGCTAAGAAGTAGCTGGAGCAATCTTTAAAGCCAGGGCTGCTGTCTTTAAGCCCAGCTCTTTCCATTACAACATCAAAGTATGGAAAAGTCGACATACATGTGGCTCAGACTAACCTCTTTGTGAAAAGACATAGCTCACCAGCTGGTTATCAGTTTGTCCTTATCCTCTTATCTCATTAAGCTAATTCTGCTCTAAAGTGTACTTAGGATTCATGAGGTGATTGGCTGAACAGAGGACACAGACATGAAAGGATTAATTTTAGGCCTTGGTAGACGCTTTGTTTGCCTGAAATGATGTTCCAGTAGCTGATAGGGTGTATGTTGTGCAGAGATGTGGCCAGGCCAGGTGATGAACTGCTTTTTTCAAGGTGGCCCATACTGTTCCATGTATCTGAGACATGTGACTACTTTTCTTCATCCCCTACTTTGTGCGGCTCACAAAAGAGACAGTGTGGTACATTGGAAAGACCATAGGATTTGGAATTAGAAAACCTGGGTCCAAATCCTGTCTTCACCATTTGCTACCTTTGTAATTTTGAGCAAGTCCCTTTCCCTTCTCTGGACCTCACTTCTTTGATCTAGAAAATAAAGGAGTTGGACTAGATCAAAAGTTCGTAATCTGTGATCTGAGCTTCCATATACACACATATATATATATATATATACATATATATATATATATACACACACACACACAATTGAAATAGCTGTCAAAACATATATACACACACACACACACATATATATATGTTTTGATAACTATTTCAATAGAATTGGTTTCCTTTGTAATTCTACGCATTTTACTTTAAGCATTTAAAAACATTAAAAAATGGAACCATAGGCTTCCCCAGACTGCCAAAGGGTCTCATTACATATACAAAAATGTTAAGAACCCCTTGACTTGGGCCAGCTAGGTGGTACAAGTAGATAGAGCACTGGCCCTGGAGTCAGGAGGACCTGAGTTCAAATCCAGCCTCAGACATTTGACACTTACTAGCTGTCATTTAATTGCCTTGCAAAAAAAAAAGAAAGGAAAGAAGGAAAAAGAAAAAAAAACCCTTGACTAGACGACCTCTAAGGGCCCTTTCAGATCTTATAAATAAATCTTATAAAATGGTCAAATGATATTGAACATTTGTTTGCAAAGTTGAGGAGCCTTGGCTTCCATCAGGTAGGGCACCAAGAGGCGGTAGAGAGAGCTCTAGGATGGCCATTAGAACACTGGAATCCTGATCCCCAGCTCAGTTATTGCCTAGCAGTGTGATTTTAGATCAGTCTCTTTCTCCCTTTGGGTTTCTGTTTCCTCATTTACAAAACTGGGTAGTTAAATTAGGTGGCCTTTTAGGTCCCTGTGATTCAGTTTCCCCTATTGGGGCTCAGAGCATTAGACTGAACAAGGTCAGGACTGTCCTCTGATTTTCTTTCAAAGTTTTCCTTCTGAAAACTCAGTTGAATAATGAGAAATTACTTTGACTACATTGTCCAGCTCACTTCTGTTTGTTGTTCAGTCGTTTCAGTCGTGTCCAATTCTTTGTGACCCCATTTGGTGTTTTCTTGGCAAAGAGAATGGAATGGTTTGCCCTTTCCTTCTCCAGCTTATTTTAAAGATGAGGAAACTGAAGTGACTGGGGTTAAGTGACTCACCCAGGGTCACACAGTTGGAAGTGTCTGAGGCCAGATTTGAACTCACTAAGATGAGTGTTCTTGACTTCAGGTCCGGCACTCTATCCACTTTACCACCTAGCTTAGTTTTAGGTGACTTCCTAGCAGTGTGACCCTGGGCAAGTCACTTAACCTCTGTATCTCTCAAGTGTAAAATGCAGATAATAATAGCACTTACCTCCCAGGATTGTTTGAGTATTAAATGAGATAATATTTGTAAAGCACTTAGCACTGTACCTGACAGATAGTAGGTGCTGTATAAATGCTTATTCCCTTCTGTCCTCACAGGCAAGAGTACCACAAGTGGCCCCAGAGAAAGGAAAGGGAAAGTGATAGGAAGACTTGAGAGGTTGTAGGGGTAAAGAGTTCCCGTAGAACAGAAGGGAAGTACATTTAGCCAGAGCACCTCCTTCCCAGAGGTTTTTAGAACCAATATGTTATAGCAGAAAGTGCTAGATTTGTAGTCTGGCTTTGAATGCTACTTCTGCTACTTACTATTTGAGCTTAGGAAAGTTACTTTATCTATTTTGGCCTCAGTTTCCTCATACGTAACATGATGAAGGTGGACTAGATCTCCAAGGCCCCTTTAAGCTTTCAATCTCTCCTAGGATAAGTATTCTGTCAGGTCTTACGTATAATAATGGTTCTCTGTATAACAAGGGACTTTTTCTGCCTCAGTAATAAAACCCCCTTAGACAAGATTTTGAGGAGCAGAATCCATTCTAATAGTGCAGAGCATTATAGTGACGCCTATTATACTGTTCCACCAAACCTGACTTGTGGTTGACTCCACAGGAAGACTACAGTATATCATAGGAGCATGGGTTGTTTGAGTGGGTGGGGAGCTTAGAACATAGGTTATAACAAAATGTTAGAGCTAAAAGAGACAGCTGGAAAGGAACTTAGAACATAGAATATCAGAGCTGGAAGGGAGCTTAGAACCCATGATGTCAGCACATAGAACAAAAGAGCTAAAAAGGGCTTTAAAATAGAATGACAGACCTGGAAGAGAGCTCAGAACCTAGAATGTCACTGCTGGAGGACAGCTTAGAATGTGGAATGTTAGAACATAGAATATCAGTTCTGGAAAGGATCTGGAGCTTGTTTAGTCCAACTCCTTCATTTTACATATGGAGAAACTGAGTTCTCTAAGTGAAGTGAGATTATTGCTGAACCATGACTAGAACTTCCCTCTCTCAATTTTCCTTCCTCTTCATCAGACTGCTTTATAGAGGAGAGGAGCATTTATCAAGGACCTACAGGATCGTTTGCTGGTTGAGCTTTCAAGGGTCCAGGTGGAACAGCACCAGTGAAGGTGCCCAGCCCTTCTGGAGGTCCTTTGCCCTTGAAATCACACGGTTAACTCCACTGGAGCTTCCAAAAAGGAGAAGTTCTTAAAGCCCTTGGCAGTTCCCAAAGTAAACAGCTCTGGAGAGACAAATTCTCAGGCATGGGGCCAAGGAGCCCCCTACACCCATTCCATTCTCTTTGGGGACAGGTACCGTTGCTAAGTCTGTACAAAAGCAGTATTGACACTCCCTTTACTTTATAATACTAGTATTCATGAAGGCAACAGCCCTGCCTAAGTAAGGCACTCCTGGCCAAGCCCCTCCAGCAGACCCTGAAACTGTAGCTTGCTCCAGGACTGCTGAGAACACCCGTGATTCAGAATAGCCTAGACAGAAGGACAAGTGTTTTCCATGTGTTCTTATGGGTGTGTGTGTGTGTGTGTGTGTGTGTGTGTGTGTGTGTGTGTGTTTACCTTAGAAAGTCCACCCAGACTTTTGTTTTTAGTGATTTCCAAGTACCTGGGATAGTTCACGGCATTGAGCATAACACCCATTGACATAATGGCCGTATCTGTCCTGGGGAAGATCCAGAAGCCTGAGGCCCTTTCTTCTAGGGCAAAGAGCTCAGTGTCATCAAGCTTCTGCACCCCAAATATTATCATGGAATGTCAGAGGTAGAAGAGTCCTTAGAGATCATCTGGTCTAGCCACCTCATTTTACAGAGAAGGAAACCGAAGCCCAGAAAGAAGTTCACAAGGCTAATAAGTGTTCCATCTGGGACCCAAACTCAGGGGTCCTGAAACTCAGTCCATCAAACCATGCAGCTTCCTTTCCTAACGCTGTCTAACACATCAAATAATACCACCACCACCAGCAGCAACAGTCTTTATTGACGTACTAATAATAACTGGTTCTGGAGTTTACAACACATTTTATACATATCTGTTCAAAGTTCAGAGTGGCATTGTAGTGTAATAGAAAGATCATTGGCCTCGGAATCAGGCAAATCTCAGCTCTGGTACTAACTGAGTGACCCAAGGCAAGTAACTTCTCTGTGTCTCCATTTCCTCATCTGTAAAAATGAGTGGGGGGGAGGGGAGGGAGTTGCGTGTGGTAATATCTATACTATTTACTTCACAGAGGTGTGAGGAAAAGACTTTGTAAACTTTAAAAGGCTTTAGAAATGTGAGTTACTGTTGTAATCTACAACTCAGAAAGGTAGGTAAAATATTCAGTATTTACCTGAGTACATAAAGTATCTCCCCCGTAGAAGGCAAGCCCCTTAAGGGCAGGAATTATTTCTTTGGTATCTTTAAATCCCCAGCACCTAGGGCAGTGTCCTGCATAGAACAAGAACTTACAAATATTTGCTGAATTGAACTTTGAATTGTTGAATTGAGGTAGACAGCACATTTCACGAAGAAGGAAACTGAAGATCTTGCCCAATGTCATACGGCCAGTGCCCACACTAGAGCCCAGGCCTTTCTGACTTCAGATTCAGCGCCCGGCCCCACTCTGCTCTGCCCTGCTGTATGTCCTCCCTCGTGCCCTGCCTCCCCGTCAGGGTTCTGATAAGTATTCAACGTGATAATAGATGCCGAGGTGTTTTAAATAATATAAAAGTGTTCATTCAAGGGGTTATGATTCTTGTGATTGTTGCTACTATTCTCTGTTCTCCAGGCTTTCATTGATGCTGCCATTAATAAGGAGATCTCTGAGCTAAGTGTGCATTGCGTGATTTCTGGGTGCGGCTGGACTGGCCTCATGAAGAATTTTGAGGTCAGTGGAGTGCGTGGGTGGTTGGCTCAACATTGTCCCAGAATTCCAGGGTCTCTGAATAGAAAGGGACTTCAGAGATAATCTAATTCAGCCCATTCCTAAAATAATTCCCATCTACAGTGAGCAAGTAACTACTTCCAGCCTCCTCTTGAAGATCTCCAGGGATAGGGAACCTCTTATTCCTATACAGCTCATTTCACCTTTGATGCACTTCCTGCACTTCTCACTCCCAGGAGAAGTCTATCAGTGAAAATTTAGGGTTAGCAAAGCATTTTATGGCTTTATGAGTATTATTTCATCTGCTTATCACAACAACCCTTGGCGGTAGGTGGGAGGTGCCATTGTTATCCTCACTTTACAGATGAAGAAAGTGAAGTTGACAGAATTTCAGTGACTTGCCAAGGGTTAGACAGTTAGGAAGTATTGAGGGCAGGATTTAAACTCAGTTCTTCCTAACTCCAAGTCTGGCATGCCATCAAGCCACCATCAGAGAAACTCCTGAGTGCTAGATGCTAAGAAAGGCAGAGGAAGGCATATAGTAGACAGAGCACTGGACTTAGATTTAGAGTCAGGAAGACTTGATTTTCAGTCCTGCCTCAGACACTTAGTGTGTGACCCTGGATATGTAACTTAACCTTTCTGAGACTCCTTTCCTTAGTCTGGAAAATTCGAGGGCCGGACTTAATGACCTCTAATGTCCCTCCCACTGTTAAACCTATGATCCTATAGGAATGCTTATCCTTATCAATAAGAAGCTTCTTTTCGGCTCAGAGTAGATGAAGCCACACATTGATCTATCTAAAGTGAAGGGTTTGGGGAAAGTTCACTTGGGTACAGACATGGATCCTGTAGGAGGTTGTTTTCCCTACTTCGAATCTCTCCCTTTCCCAACACTCATCCACACCCCATTCGGAAATGACGTCCCCTATTCTAATCACCATCTCAGTGCATAACTCCCCCCTACAACATCCCTCACCAATACACAGTCAACCTCTCCTTGATCCTTTCCAGGGACACAGAGCTCACTATCTCACAAATCATCCTATTTGCTTGTGTACAGGTCTAATTATTAGCAAGTTCGTCCTTAATCTCAAGGAATGCCATTCTAATGGTAAAATTTAAGCCAGTATTAACATTAACATGCCAGTATACAGTAGAGATACTTGGCAATAGGAAGGCCTTCCTGGAAGTCCTCAAATCATACCATATAGATAAGAGCACTAGACTGAATTATCTATCAATTTTCTATCAATTAGAATTATTTATCAATTAGCAATCATTTTGAAAGCACTTACTCAGGTGTTAGGTACTGTGCTAGGGATATGAAGACAAATATGAAATTATATCTGGCCTTAAGGAGATTATATTCTATCAGGAAGGACAGCAGACCACATACTTGTTGTTTAATCATTTCACTCATGTCTGACTCTCCATGAACCCATTTGGGGTTTCCTTGGCAAAGATACTGGAGTGGTCTGCCATTTCCTTCTCCAGCTCATTTTGCAGATCAGGAAACTGAGGCAAGCAGGGTTAAGTGACTTTCCCCAGGGTCACACAGCTAGTAAGTGTCTGAGGCTGGATCTGAACTCAGGTCTTTCTGACTCCTGGCCCAGAGTTCTATCTACTGAGTCACCCAGCTGCCACGTATAGCTCTATAAACCAAACAGAAACCTTGGACAGGAAGGCACAGCTCTTTCAAAAGGGTGTGCTTAAGCTGAGTCTTGAAGAAAATTATAAATTCCAAAAAGTGGAAGGAAGAAAGAGACCTTTGCAGGCATGGAAGACAACCAGTGCAAAGTCCCAGAGAGGGGAAATGGGGTGTCTCGTGTGAAGAAAAGCAGGAAAGACAGATTATTATGTTTAACAAATCTGGAAAGGTAGTAGCCAGGTCGTGAGGAGCTTTAAATGTGAAACAAAGGAGTTTATATTTGATCCTGGAGGTAATAGGGAGCCATTGGAGTCTATTGAGGCATCTAGGTGCTTCAGCGATAGTAGAGTGATGGTAGAACTTGGGTCAAAAGGACCTGCATCTAAATCTGTGTGACTCCGAGCAAGTCACTTAACCCCTATCTGCCTCACTTTCCTCAGCTGTAAAATGGGCATAATGATAGCACCTACCTATGAGGATCAAACAAGCTAATATTTGTAAAGTGCTTTGTAAAATTTAGCGTGCTATATACATGCTAGTTATTATTAGTTACTATAAAGTGATATAATCAGGCCTGCAGTTTAGGAGATTCACTTTTCTGACTGTGGAAATGACTTGGGATGGGGAAAGATGGAGACAGAGAGACAAATGAGGAGGCTCCTTCCATAGTCCAGGCAAGACACAGTGGAGGTAGGGTGATGGCTGCATGAATGGAAAGAAGGGGCCATATTTGGGAAACGCTGTAAGTCTGGAAAAGACAAAATGTGGCAACTGTTTAGATTTTTGAGGTCAGTGAAACTGAGGGATCGAGGCCGATCCCATGGTTACCAACCTGGGTGATTAGAAGGATAATATGTACTTAACAGATTCTAGTCCTGGTTCTGACACTAGCTAGTTGAGTGACCTTGAGCAAATTAATCCCTCTCTGCGCCTCAGTTTCCTCATTTGTGAAAAAAGCATTAGGGATTAGAATATTTTTAAGACCCCTTCCAGTTTTAAATTCTACTTTCTAAGATTTCTCCCAGCTTTTGTTATTTTATAGTTCATACTCAAAATGAGGGGAGTGATGATAACCCTCTACCCTTTTAAAAGCACTTAGCTCTTCTACTAGTCCCCAGTCCCTCAGTCTGATGTTGCCACCTACTACGTTTTATTTTCTATTTATTGGTATATGTGGTTTCCTGTTTGAAAAGGTAAGAGGCCAAGCCTTCTTGATCAGAAATCAAGCTCTTTTGCACTTTGAGCTAGTGTGCCATAAGCACAGACCCCAAGGAGGACATTTCCCCTGCACATACTCCAGGTGGCTTACAAGAGGGGCAATACTCACAGGTAACTGACGATGAAACGAGTGGTGCTCCAGAAAGCCCGGCCACAGGAAGAGCCATGGGATAGGGGAGAGAAGATGGGGCCCACAAGAGTATTTTGTTCTAGTTAAAAGCTAGAATTTCTAGGGCTTGGTTTAATTAAGCCCTTCCGAAAGATTATAATGGTTTGAATCAAAAGCTAAGTTATTCTCCAAAGAAGGCCACCAGATTGATCTTCCCAAAGCACGTCACTTCCATACTGAAGAACCTTTAGTGATTTCCCATTACTCAGAGGATAAAAATCATTCTCTATCCTTCCTCTTTCCCTATTCTCTCTCTCTCTCCCCTCTCTCTCTCTCTCTCTCTCTCTCTCTCTCTCTCTCTCTCTCTCTCTCTCTCTCTCTCTCTCTCTCTCTCTCTCTCTCTTATTAATGATTCCATAAACTTTTTTCTTGAAAGGCACATTTGGCTCACTCTTTGCCCCTAGAATTTTGACCCCAAAACCACAAATATATTCAGGATATAAAGGAACAAACATTTCAGTGTTGCCTCCCCTTCTCTTGGTTGAACTAATGATCTGAAGGTTTAGGGCTAGAAGGCATCTTAAAGATTGTCCAGTTAAGCCCTCTTATTTTATAGAGGAAGAGACTTGGCCCAGAAAGGTCATAGGATCATAGACTGAAATCTTAGATCAAGAGGCCAAGCCTTCATTTTAGAGATGAGGAAAGTGATGCCTGGAAGTGAAGAGACTTGCCCAAAGTCACACAGATTGTGAATATCAGAGGGGGGATTTGAACCCAGTTTCTTTCACTCCAGAGTCAATAAAATCAAATCTGCCTCCTCTCCGGGAAGATAAAGTGCCTTTGCCCAAGATCACATGTAACTAGAGGCAGAACCAGGACCAGAAATCGAGTCCTCTGACTCTCCTCTTTCCAATACAACACACTGCCTCACATCTGGCAGGTACTTTCCAAAATGTGAGCCATTCTCGTTTCTGGAGGGCCTTTGGTACAAAAGGTAAAGAGGAATGGTGCTGGAGTTAAAGGCCCTGGGTTCACATCCTGCCTCTGACACTTCCTACCCACCTGACCTTGAGCAAGTCATTTCCCTTCCCTGAGTTTCAGTTTCATCATCTGTAAAATGAAGGTATTGGATTAGATAGCCTCTGACCTCCTTTCCAACTTCAGTTCTGCGATTCTGTGGTTCTATTGCCTACCAAATCAAACTTAAACTCTTCTTCTGACTTGCAATGCCCTCCCCAGTCTGGTGCCAACCTCCCTTTCCAGCCTTATCTCATATTATTCTCTGTCACTCACTCTAGATTCAATCCAAACTTGAATTACTCTGGCCCTCTGAATATGGATCAAGCTCTCCTGCTGTGATTCCAGCAGCTTTTTCAAGATGCTCAGAAGAGATGGGTTTCAGGCACTTCACCTGAAGCAATGCCAATGATTTCTGGAGGGCACAAAAGGTGCCTTCAGAATTTTGTGCAGTGCTTTGGGGGCAAAAACACATTCGTGCTACTCACGTTGCAGGCGTCGCCTATGAAGGAGGGTACTATCTGGAATAGCCTACCTACAGCTGTCTCTACTACCTGCCAGGATTGGCTGAGGCATAGCAGACTTCCTGCTTTGGCTCAAACTCCGCCCCCCTCCAACTGCCCTCCTTCTCTGGCCCCTCTGGGTGGAACAGCTGTTTTGAGCTCCCTGCTGTTTTGGGCTCCTGCGTTGGGAACAGCATGTCCCTGGAAGGGGGAGCCGAGCCCGCGGGGAGGCACCCAAACACAGTTTCCTGCGAGTTAGGCTGGGCTGGGTTCCACATCCTTACCCACTTTGCTTAATTGTCCACAGAGCTTTTTCCTTATTCCACTTTTGAAGGAAAGCTAACAGTGTTGCTACGGATTAGTTCAAATTAAAAGCCTATAAAATATTTGGTTCCTTCTCTTTCCTCTCCACCCCTTCCATTTAAATCCTTGTTTTAAATCTGCCCCAGAGGCTCATTGTCCACAAATATTTACAGAGGGCCCGCTATGGGTACAACCATGTGTTGGGCATTATGAGGGATATAGAAGAGATGTGAAAATCACAGCCTCTCCCTTCTAGGAGCTTACAGACTAGTCAGGGAGACAAGACATGCACGTGGAAAATGAAACAATACCAGAGAAACAGGGTATAATCTAGTACTCAGTGAGTGACCTAGTAAGCACCATAGAGGTTCAAAAGAGAGAGAGCTCAGTGGGGGCATGGCTGGTCAGAGAAGGCTGCACAGAGGGAGTGGCATTGGAGCTGGGCCCCGTAGAATAAGTAGGGCTTGGATGGACTGAGAGGAGAGGATAAGAGGTTGAGGGGGGCATCATGGGAGGTGGATTTCAGCAGATGATAAAAGGATTCCACACCTCTAGAGTTCCTATCGGTTTTGAAAGCACTTTTACAAGTATCTCTTATTTGATTTTCACAGCAGGCCTGTGAGATAGGTAGGGCAGAGATTGTTATCGTCATTTTATAGATGAGACCTAGGGAGGTAACTGTAACTTGCCCAAGGCTGCACAGCCAGCACGTGGCAGAGTCAGGACTTGCTCCATCCACTAGATCAGAACTTGCTGGAGAAGCCAGAGCCTTGAGAATTCAGACATTAGTGCTTCAAAGAGCACTGAATGTGAGGTCAGAAAAAGACCTGAGATGTCTATTTACTAATAATAGCTAGCATTTATATGGAACTTTAAGGTTTGCAAAGCCCTTTACAAAACATTATCTCATCTGATCCATGTGACAGCCCTGTAAGGTATTAGTTTACCTAATTTACAGATGGGGAGACTGAGACAGACAGCTGTGAAGTGATTTGCCCAAGGACACACAGCCAGGCAGGATTTGAACTCGGGTCTTCATGACTCCAAGTCCATTTTGTCACCTAGATGCCTGTAAGAAGATCTCTGAGCCTTAAACCAGTCCCTTTCCATCATTGGGCCTCTGTTTCCTCATGTATAAAAAAGGGAATTGGACTAGATGATTATTGTTGGTATTCAGTCATTTCAGTCCTGACTCTTGGTGACACCATTTGGGGTTTTCTTGGCAAAGATACTGGAGTGGTTTGCCATTTCCTTCCCCAGCTCATTTTATAGATGAGGAAACTGAGGCAAACAGGGTTAAGTGACTTGCCCAGGGTCACACAGCTAGTAAGTATGTGAGGTCAGATTTGAAGTCATGAAGTCATCTTGCTCATTCCAAGCTCAGTGCTTTATCCACTGACTAGATGAGATCTTAAGTCATTTTCTATGATGTCTGACTCTTGGTTATAAACCCAGTATTAGCAACCCTGTTTGTCTTGGGTGCGAGAAGCAACAAATAAACTAAAGATGATGGGGGAGGGGGCAAGAGAGAAGGAATCCTTGTTCCTAATTTTCATCAATTTTCTTTTCCATGATCCCTCTAGTGAAATGGTCTCATTACAGTCTCCTTTTCACCTATGAACAGACACATGTATGTGGAGGAATCTTCTTGAAGGACCACAAGCAGACCGTGACGGAGATCAGTACAGAAGAGAAGGTAGGTAAGACCACTGAGGTGCCTTCTTCTCTTCCGTGGATCCTTCACACTGCCCAGCCTAGGGCTGGACACCCAAGGAACACTTGCTCACTTAGACTTTGGAGAGCTGTCTCCAGCTTTCTGCAACCATTTCTGGACTGAGAGTTTCACAATGATTCGGCCTGTGCTGTGAGGGTGCCTGGAATTTCCAAAAATGCAAAAATAGTAGCTCTTTCTGGTGGTTGCCACAGACCAGGGAGGATTTGTAAGAAAATTACCCAAGGGATGGACCTTTTTTTTTCCAGGATGATTTGGTGCCAGCTGAGGTCCAGGGTAGATGCTCCTTTGCAGACATTGGCTGTTCCTTCAAGGTAGGCATCATTTTTGAACTTGGATCCCAATATAAGAACAGATAGGCTGAACAAATAGCACTGACCCCCAAGCCCAATCCCTTTCTCCCCACCTCTTCCTCCCACCCTTCTTTCACATGCCACCAGACTGATCTGAAAGTACAGTTTTGATGATGCTGTCTCATTGATGAAGAACTTTTTTTAATGTTTTCCCACTGACCGCAAGATCAAAATGGCCATATTTTGTCCCTCCATTTATTTCTCCTTTTGAAGTAGTTCCATTAACTCTTTCTTTGAAGTCATAATTGGCCCACTCTTTCCCAGAATTTTGGGTGGGATTTCCCAAACATATCTCAGGATATCATGATCAAATCTCTCTTCTGGGAGACAGTACTTTGGATATTTGAAAGCAGTGCTCATGTCAAGGCCTTTTGTCAACAAGCTGAACATCCCAGATTCCTTCAAATGGCCCCTACGGCATAGTTACAAGTCCCTTGATGTTTCCAGTCCTAGGTTTGGAGTCAGGGTTTTCTTGTTGTTATTTAGTCATCGGAGTCAGAGTACCTGGGGTCAGGCTCCAGCTCTGCTACCTGTCTGACCTTTGCTGATGTCATTTAACCTCTCTGGACCTCAATTTCCTTATCTGTAAATTGGGTGCTTGACTATTACGCTTTCAGATCTTTTGCAGCTGTGACCCTCCATTGGAGGCACTCCACTTTATCAATGCCCTTAAAATGTGATGCCCAAGACTAAACCCAGGTGATAGAGAATATGCCAATTGTTGAGTTTATATAAGATTTCAGCACTGCTTTGTCATCTAAAAGATCCAGCATGACATCACTGCTTTGTTCTAATTCTCTCATTTTCTGTAGTCTTTTAAAGACCTTTTAAATATTGAAAACCTTTGGTCTACCCATTTCTGGCGCGATATTTAACATTTCTAAAATATAGCATGAGAGTATCTCACTCCCCCTTCATTCAGACGTTCTTCTGCATATTTGATGACCCCCCCATTTCAATCAAAGCCCCTTCCCTTTGTAACTTCGGGAGTATACCCAAGTTACTGAGCTATCTGTGCCCTTAGGGATAAAGCAGCAAGCTGTTTCTCTGGGGATCTCCCCAGATGTGAGTTGTCTGTCAGCTTTCTCTACCCTCTCACCTTGACCACCTCCCTCCCCTCTCTCAGCAGGGTAGCCAGGAAATGGTGAAGGAGCATGAGGCTTCCTCACTGAGGGACCATGTAAGGCTGCTGTTACAGTTTGTGAGCCAAGTGAAGGCCCAGTCAGATGCCAACAGAGAGAAAAGGATATCAGGCCTCAGTTGCACCAAGCCAAGTATGAATCCCCTGGAGGGAAACCTGTCTGACCTACAATTACAAGGAGCTGTGGAGGTCAATGGTGACTTGGAGGCTGACTGCTTTCATGCTGCCTCCTCTGACTCTGAGGAGGAGCTGGCGCTTCAGAGGTTCATGAAGGAGAAGCTGCTTGCTGAGCTGGAAGAGAAGCTGCATGTGTTTGAGAATATTGTGACTGTCCTGAACAAGGAGGTGGAGGCCTCCCACCTGGCCATTGCTGCCTCCGTGCACCAGAGTGGACTGACCCAGGACCTCATCCTGGGCTTAGAGCAGCGGGTGAGATGCCACTGGGGCTCCAGCCCTACCGTCTGGGCCAACAGGAGACAGGCTAGAGCAGGCCAGATTCATTTGTTCTATACGCAAAAATATTTGTTAGGTGCCGATAAGGTCTTGTGCCAGCTATTGGGGGAGATGCAGAGATAAGGGAGACCTGGGCTTATAATCTAGTGGGAGAGATAAGAGAAGGACAAAAGTCACAATTCTACGTGTGTGTACACACATGCACACACCTGTGTGTATGTAAACATACATATGTTTATATAGTGTATGGCATTGTATATTAGTATGTGTTACATATTATATTATTTGCATGTTACTAAGTGTAGCAGTGGAAAAGAATGCTAGATGTAGAGTCAGGTGATCTGGGTTAAAATCCTGACTTACCTTGCATAAATTACCTAACCCTTTTGGACCTTAGTTTCCTCATCTGTAAAATGAGAGGATAGAACTAAATGACCCCTAAGGTCCATTCCAGCTATAAAACCAAAATCCTCATATGATATAATTTATATTACTTGAATTACATACGATAAGTCTTCTCTTATCCCCTCAGTTGGCAACCCTTTTCCCTCCCTCTCCCTAACCCTGACTTTACATAATACTTTCTTTCAGACATTTCTAAAGCATTAATCATGTAATATCACTTATAATAGTTATGCTTTAACTTCCATTAGAATATAAGCTCCATGAGGAAAGAAGCATATTTTATCTAAACCCTGTATCTCCCCCCGTCCATAGCATAGCACCCTGAATAAATGTAGTGCTTATAAAATAGTGGCTGAATGTTGTTAGAATACTGAGAGGCAAAAGTCCTGGACTTGGAGTCTGAAAAAACCTGGGTTCAAATCAAACACTAATGATATAACTTTGGACAAATCAGTTTCTTCATCTGTAAAATGAGCATAATAATACTTTCACTACCCACCTTGCAGGGTTTTTGTGAGGAAAGCAGTTTGTAGACCTGATAGTGCTGTGTTAGTGTGAGTTATCATAATATGTGTTATGCTATATGTATAATTGAGGCATAAGGGATAAAGAGCCAGCCTCAGTCAGGAAGACCTGGGTTCAAATTCAGCCTCTGACATATACTGGCTATGTGACCCTGGGTAAGTAAGTCTTTTCATCTCTCCATGCCCCGGGTGATTCCCTAAAACTCATTGCAGACAAGCTGCCTTTGAATTGATAGAGAACTTCTTTATTTCCTACACCAAGGAAATCAAACGTCCAGACTCTCAAAAAGTTATATAATAGCTAACAACTGGAATGATACAACTCTTGGAGTAGTTGGGAAGAAAGCACTTTCCAAACCTTGAAGTGCTATAGAAATGTGCTCCTAATACGATAGTAATTAGACTCTGCATGTGTCGGAATAATAACAATAACAGCATATGCATCTGTGATGACTGAAGACTCACAGAGCATTTTCCTCACAGGATTATTTCAAGGTGTGTAGTGAAGATATTATTATCCCCATTTTGTGGATGAGGACACTGAGTCTCACAGTGGGGAAATGACTTGCCCAGAGTCACACAGCTAGAAAGTAGCAGAGATAAGACTGAACCTATGTCAGAATCAGTACTTTTTCCATTCTACTTCTAATAACTCACATTTCCTTGGTACTTTACAATTTACTACACAGCTCCTTTTTTTCATAACAATCCCACAGGTGTTATTCCCCCTATTTTTCACATGAGGCAACTGGGGCTCAGAAAGTTAATTAAAACCTGTCCACGGTCCAAGTGACTGGTGAGGGCCAAGACTTGAACCTAGGTATTTTAACTTCCAAGTATAGTATTTTTTCCACCACATGTTGCTGACTTCTACTATGCTCCCAAGAAGCCATGGGCTCACCAGATGATGGATAATATTGGGACACTCCTAGAGTTGCAGAGGTTGATCTGGGATGGGGTCCCTATATTCCAGGTCATGGATTTGCAACAGACCCTGGCCCAGAAAGACCTTGCCCTGACCAAGTTGGAGCAGAGCCTCCATCTCCTGGAGGAGGCTTCCTATGATGGCGTCTACCTATGGAAAATCACCAACTTCACCAGGAGATGTCATGAGTCTGCATGTGGAAGGATGGTCAGTCTGTTCTCACCAGGTAACAGCTTCACTATTTTTAGTATGAAGCACAGACATAAGCATCCATCTATCAGTGCTTGTAAAAGAATAAGGGCTCACATTCCCATAATGCTTTAGAGTTTACAAAGTGCTTTCCCAAGAACCCTAGGAGGTATATGATGCAAATATTATTATACAGATGAGAAAACTGAGGCCCAGAGGTAATAAATGATTTACTCAAAAGTGATGGAACCTCAACTCAAGCCTAAGTCTTCTTATTTCAAGACACCACACTGCTTTACCAATAATAATAGAACCAACCAAGTACTTCTGAAATTCTTTTCTAACGTATCTGGTTATGTCCATGGTGTCGTTAACTGGAAGGTACAGACAGAATAAAGAGCATGATGATGTTTTTTCACTGGGAATGTACTTAGGATTTTGGGAGGGAGAAAGAAGAGGAGGTAATCCTTAGCTAATAAGTTTGCCCAGGAGTAAAATTTGTCCCATTAGGAACATGGTTAGTGAAATGTTTGTGGACTGGCATGATTCCAGCTGCCTGATTAGACGTCTATACCTACCTGTCCCATGAGCACTTTAAACTCAATATGTCCAAAACCAAACTGATTATATTCCCTCCATAATTCCCCTGTCCTCTGCCACTGAAAAATAACCCTGTTCCTTTTTTTCATTCTCCTAGTTTTCTTTGTGGTGCCATCCTCCCAGATACCCAAGGTTAACACTTCAGAGTAATTTCTAATGCCTCTTCCTTTTATTTCCACATCCAGTCATTTACCAAGTTTTATTGATCTATCTCCCCCTTCCCCTGTCCATATAGCTACCACCCTAGTTCAGACCCTCTTTACCTCTCACCTGGACATTTTACAATAGCTTTCTGACTGGTCTCCCCATTTCTAGCCCCTGCCCCTTCCAATCCATTTCACATACCACTGCTAGATTAATCTGCCTAATATGAGGCTCTGATGACCTCACTCCCTTGTTCAAGACTTTCAATGGCTCCTCATCGGCTAAAAAAGTCAATAATTTAGAGACTGGCCTTCAAGGTCTTCTAAACTGAATTACAACATGATGGGTCTTTTTTTTTTTTACAACACCATCTCTTCCAAATATATATTTCTCCTCCTTTCCTATATAGTGAGACACCCCTTATAATAAAGATAAGAAAAAGAAAGAAAAAAGCAGTTCAGGAAAAGCTAACAAAGACACCAACCAAGTCTGACAATATATGCAGTATGCAACCCATATATATGCGATATATGCAACCCATAGTCTCCCACCTCAGGAAGGAAGTGAGGAAGACACATTTTCTAAATTCTTCTCCATGGCCAAGCATCTTAGTTATTATAATTTTTTTGTGTTTTGTTTTGTTTTGATTTTTAGGCAATTGGGGTTAAGTGACTTGCCCAAGGTCACACAGCTAGTAAGTGTCGAGTGTTTGGTCTGAGACCGGATTTGAACTCAGGTCCTCCTGCCTTCAGGGCCAGTGCTCTACCCACTGCTCCACCTAGCTGCCCCCTTAGTTATTATAATTATAAAATTTCAGTTTCATGCTTTTGTGGCTTTTTTGTTTTAATTTTCATTGTTGGTATAATTGTTTATTGTTTTCTTGGTTTGGCTTATTTCTTAATTTCTGACAGTATTAGCAATATATCATCACAGCATAAATGTTAAATAATAATGCTACCTTAAAGAGCCTGAGAATTACAGAATTTCAGGTTATGTACTGCCCCAATGCTTTGTCTATCCCCTAAGTAATGTGACTGATTGAATCCTTAGACTTATAGGCATTTAGAGCTAGAAGAGACTTGGAGGATCATTTAATCCAGTTCTTCCATCTTTGATAGCTTAGATAAGTTACATAACTTTGAACAAATATTTCCTCATCTGTAAAATAGCCATAATAACACTTTCACTACCCACCTCACAGGGCTTTTGTGAGAAAAGCAATTTGTATTTTATAGATGAGGACACTGAGATCCATAGGGAGGACATGACTTACACAATCTAATTATTGGAAAAGCCAGAGTGCTCTGACTCCTGGACTATTGTCCTTCCTACTGCACCATCCTGCCTCTCTTACATCTGCAGTCTGAATACAATATCTCTGTGCTTGTCTACAAATGCTCATATATATGTTCATATGTGTGTATGAATACATATATATGTTTATGTAATGAGCGTATGTTTGTGCTTTTTTGTTTTTCTCTAAAACTAGGGAAAATATTAAGCACCAGGAAACCTTAGCTTTAGACATGCCCTATTGCTACTGCATACAAATGTATATACATGTGTGTTTGTGTGCATGTTTGTATATGTATGCACGCACGTATAGAAATCTATTAGTTTACATACATGTGCTAATGAATGAGTGTACATGAATACATGGGTTTGTATGTGTGTATATATGCATATGTGATCCTATGGTTATGTGATCATAGAGCTAAAGCTGAAAGAAGTCATCTTAGAGGTAATCTAGTCCAACCCCCTCATCTTCAAATGGAGAAACTGAGGCCCAGAAGGGTAAGGGACTTGCCCATGGTTATCCAAGTATAGTTATGGCAGAACAGGGATTCAAACCTGGGTCCTATGAATCTAAATTCAGGATTCTTTCCACTGCTCTGTACTCCCTGTGTATGTATTTTTGTATAGGAATGTGTATGAAGGAGTCTGTAAGCATGCATGTGCACAAGTCTGTAGTCCTGCCAAGAGAGCGAAGGGCAGCTCCAAGTTTGGGGCAGGAGGCCCCAGCAGCAGGGACGGTACAGCCTTAGACAGGACACAGCTCTAAACCCCACACACATGCAGCTTTTTAGGGTGAGGTTTGCCGAAAAGGGAAAAGACAAACTGTGCCTCAGGCTTCCTGCTGTTCAAAAACTAGAGAGAAAAGATGAGTCAAACCCTTGCCTGGGTCTTTCCTCTGGCCTCCTCGCCTCCTCCCTCCCCAAGCTCACCAATGGTTCTGCCCCTAGCCCTCCAGAAACTGCTATTTACAGTGACATCTGTTGGAATGTTTCTCTAACCCAAGTCCAAGAGGCCCCACGCTGTCTCTCTCCCAGGCTAGTGTAATAGCCTCCCTTCCAATCCATTCTTCATATAACTGCCAAAGTAATCTTTCTAATGTATAGGTCTGGCCATGTCACTCCCTTTCTCAAAAACCTTTAGTGGTTCCCAATAGCCCGTAACATAGAAATTCCTTAGCTTTGCATTTAAAGCCTTCAGCCTTGGAACTTAAAGTGCCCTCTTACATTTGTCTGGATCTCTCCTCTTCCCCTTGTATATGTGCCACACCACTGCACCCCTCCCCCCCTTAATTAGATTGCAGGCTTCTTGACAACCAGGATCTAATTTCTGTATCCCTGCTCCCAAGCACATCTTCTGTATTGTATGTGCTTTATAAATGTTTGCTTACTGGTGAAGCGGACAGAGCTCTGGATTTAGAATCAAGAAGACCTGAGTGCAAATTCTACCTCAGATACTTCCTAGCTGGGTGACCTGGGCAAGTCTCTTATCTTCTGTGTGCTCCAATTTCCTTATCTATAAAATGAGAATAATAATAGCACCTACTAATAATATCACTACAGGGTTGTAGGAATCAAATGAGATAAAGCGCTTTGTAAAACTTAAAAGTGCTATATGTTAGCTGCCTGGGAAAACCTAGCATCCGCAGAACTAACCCCCAACTCCTTTGTTGATTTCAGCTTTTTACACTGCCCGCTATGGCTATAAATTATGCCTTCGGATCTACCTGAATGGAGATGGGACAGGAAAAGGCACACACCTTTCACTCTTTATTGTGGTCATGAAAGGGGAATATGATGCTCTCCTGGAGTGGCCTTTCCGGAATAAGGCAAGTGGTATTAAAATTGAGAGGGTCTGGGAGCCAGATAAGCTAGGTTTTGGCCTGGCTCTGTTACTCACTTTCTGTGCCGGCTGGTTGCTCGGTCAGATCATTTAATATTTATGAGTCTCAAGTGCCTCACTAGTGAAATGGGGGTGGCAATGGTTTCCCAGATGATATTGAAATGCCTTCGAGGTCTAAATGCTCTGATTCTCTATGTTTCTTCAGTATACCCCAAGCCCATCCAACAAGTCTTGATCCCATGTTTATTTTGTGTGGCTAAGCCACCTGGGCTTGATGCTGTTGAGGAATGACGACACATACAGCCCCAGACTTGAACTGGGGAGATAAGGCTCCCATTAGTGTGACAATGACAAAGAATAATGTAGAATAGGTGCCAGTGAACAGCACAGATAGGTGGTGCATAGGGAGGAAGGAGAGAGAAAATCACTCTGAGTTAGGGTGGTCAGGGCAGCCTTCACAAAACAGATGGAACTTAAATTGGCCCATATAGGATGTGTAAGATTTAGATAAACTGCAAGAAGATGGAAAAGAATAGCGATCATATAATGCGATGAAACACACACACACACACACACACACACACACCCCAAAGGGAAGACTCATCGAATGTATAGGGGACAGTTTGGCTAAAGCAAAAGGTTCACAGGGGAAAGTCATAACAGATAAGCTTGGGACTCATGGAGGGCCTTGAATGCCAAAATAAAGAACTTAGCTTTGATTCAATCACCATGAAGACCGATAATGATTCTTTAACAATGCTTCTTTGATATGTGATATAAATTGATACATATACATACATATATATGTATATATATATATATATATATATATATATATATATGATAGGTAGGAATATAAAGATAGATATGCAGAGAGAGAGAGAGAGAGAGAGAGAGTTAGAGTTTCTATTATGTATCTTGTCTTGTTTTAGATTAGTAATTGGTGAACTATGGCCTGGCCAAATTCAGCCCACTACCTAGTTTTGTATATCCCTGGGAGCTATAGTTTTTACATTTTTAAATACAATAAAACTTTATTTAAAAATATAAAAACAATTGTTATCTCACAGGCCTATACAAAAACAGGCTTCAGGCTGGATATGGCCCTCTAAATGCAATTTGTCAAGCCCTGCTTTAGACTGTAATCCCCCAGATGTAAAGGCAATGTCTCTTATTTCCTGAATCAAGCATCCAACACGATTGCCTCCCTGCCATGATGTGGCCTGACTAACTGACTGGTGACTGACTTGGTTCCCTCTCAGTTGCCCCAGGAGTCCTTAAGATCAGAGAACACAAAATCTTAGTGTTAGAAAGGACCTCACAGGTCAACTAGTCCAACTGATACTTGAAGAGTCCCCTCTACAGCACCCTCAATAAGGCTGGGTCATCTTTTAGACCTTGTCTCCAGTGATAACCCCCTCACTACCTGGTAAGATAGCCCATTCCATTTTTGAACAGTTCTTACTGTTAAGGAAATCTATGAGAAAATGGTCCTTATAATCCTAAAGTTAGAAAGTCCCTTAGAGCATCAACTGTCAGGGTAGGAGTGACCATATAACATAGAATACAAAACATAGAATTTTAAAGCTGGTAAAGAATCTTACAACATAGACTATTTAAACACTGAACATAGATTCCCAGGGATAGAAGGGTCATCTAGATGAGTGATCATCTAGGCCAACCCTTACCTGAACCAAAAAACACTCTTCGTGATCTCAGAGAACTGTGCCTCCCCTCTGTCCCCACCTCACCCCAAATCCCCATCAACTGAGCAGTAACTCGCCTTGCAGCAAGCCTGGTTTTTAGCCAGTGATCAGTGTTGATCTGAGAGCTACAAAAGAGCACCTTACAGCCTTTCTCCCATCATTCTCCAGGTCACATTCATGTTGCTGGACCAGAACAACAGAGAACATGTCACTGATTCCTTTCACCCAGATCCAACCTCAGGCTCCTTCCAGAGGCCACAGGGGGAAAGCAACATAGCCAGTGGCCGTCCTATGTTCTTCCCACTGAACAAACTACAGTCCCCTAAACATGCCTATGTGAAAGAAGACACAGTGTTCCTCAAGTGTGTTGTAGAAACTAACTCATAAAGCTGGGATACAGAGGCCCAGCCAGACCATAGAGGAATGCTAAAACAAGAAAACACTTAGAAAGAAGTTAATGTAAAGAATCACTCTCACTATTGGAAAGAACCTGAGAGGCCATCTAGCCCTGCACAGATCTCTTCATTAGCGTTCCAGACGTGTGATCGTCTAGACTCTACTTGAACACTTCCAGTAATGGGGAACTCACTACCTCTAATGTCTCAGCCCATTCCATTGTTGGACAGCTCTTTTACTAGAAAATTCATTAAACCTCCTTTGCTGTGACTTCCAATCGCTGCTCTTCTGTCTTCTTGAGCCACACAGAACAAGTTTACTATGTCTTAGAGAGGAAGAGGGCTTGGTCCAAGGCAAAAAGTCTAAAAGTCTGGGTTCAAGCTCCCATCACATGACCTACCCGCTACATAATCATGGGCAAAAAATGATTGAACTTTCTAAACCTCAATTTACTCACTTCAGGAATCTCTCAACTCTGCCCCCCCCCAACAGAACTGTTTGGGGTCCATTGAGCTGGCTACTACGCATACCCTCATCCCCATTGTACTGTTCAAATTCATAGTCTGTGTGTACTCTTTTAAGCAATCAGCTGTTACTTTATGCTAGCTTGGTGAACTCTCTGTCGCTTATCTGGTGGCCTGATTGACTAGATAGATAGATAGATAGATAGATAGATAGATAGATAGATAGATAGATAGAGACAGAGTAAGCATTTATTAAGTGCTTACTGGAGAAAAGGACCAGAGAGTGACTTAAGGTAAGAGTGAGATAAAGCATGAATCCTTCCTGAAATGGAAGTCCCAGAGACAATAGGGTAGTGGAAATGGCATTTCTCAGGAGATAAGCAGACCTAGGTTCTAATATCTGCTTTGCTAGTAATAGAGTTATTGTAAAGAAAGTACTTTGTGAATCTTAAAATGTTAGAGAAGTGTGAGTTTTAATTACAGCAAGGTCCCAATTAGTACAAATAATGAATCCAATGAAGTGGTCTCATCATTTGAATCTCCACTGCATATTTCTATTGGTCTGGAACCAAAGACCATATTTTAACTTTGAAATTTAAATATATGCAACCACTTCTTGGAATTCATTGTTTACACTAACTGGGACCTAGCTGTACATACAACAGACAATCCATTGATATAGATGATGTCTTATATCATGAGGTCTGGGAATTATGCAAGGTCCTCCAGGCTAGAAGGCTGTGATGAAGGGCAACTGGAAAGGGGAGAAGAAAGGATGTGGAGAAGGAAGACTGAAAGGGATGAAACAGAGTAGGCCCACAGGTGAAGTGAAGAAGAAGAAGGTGAAGCTGTTCACGAAGGTAGGAAACAATGGAGGGGCCATTTGGAGAGAAACAAAATGCCACCACAGACCATCAGAATTCATTTAACCAAGGTGGAGCTGCCTGCTGGGACAGCTTAGGAAACATTTCTGATAGAGTAATTGTAACCCATTGTGAAATAATGTTTTCCAAAACCATGTGATAATACATGTAAAGTGCTTTGCAAACCTTGAAGCACTATATAAAGTAAACTATTTTTATTATTATCATTTTGTTGGATCTTCGTGAAACCTCTTTGAGACAGACTGACCAGAGATGATTATCCTCATCGTACAGAAGGGGAAACAGACTCAGAGAAGTTGAGGGATGTGCCCAATGTCATGTACATCTGGTCATTGTCCGAGATGAAACTTGAGCACAGTTCTATCTTCAGCCTCTAAGTCTAAGGCTCTTTCCACTACAATGTGTGTAGATACTTGGGAAAAGCAGCCCTAAAAGCCAAATCATACCTTGTATTATCATCAACCTTCCCTTACAAGTGTATCCCAGTGAGTCCTCAGGACAGCTCTTAAACAGAGTTAACAAAGCAGAGCCTGAAGAGAGCTTCTAGACAGAAGTTGGAAGGGTTATTTATTATTGAGGCTGGTCAGATTTTGGCTGGAAGCACCCACACACCTCCACCACCCCCCTTCCTGCTTACATCATGTAAGCAGGAAGCAATGTTAGACAATCTCCCCTATTGATTGAAGGGGAGACTGAGTGACATAAAGACTGCATAAGAATCTCAGAACTTTTCTCAGCTTCAGCTGGTAGAACCCTTCCTTCCTGTTATTGGATGTATGCCTAAATTATAGCCAAGTCACTACTAATTAAGGGAAAGAAAGTCCACAGTCCAGAGTAATTACCTCAATTCTCAATATTCTGCATTGCATTCCAGAAGATTCTGTTAACTTCTTGCTTTTTCTTTTACATTAGAGGTACAGCTTTTTCCCTTTCATCCACAAACAGGTCAGTTATATAAACAGAATATTTTTCCATGTTTCAATTTCTGAGAAAGAAACAAGTAAGCCAACTTAACCAGTAGCAATGGTTAATTCAAAAGATCAACTTTTTAGAACCATTAAGTAGAACTGGAAGGAGCTTTAAAACTTTGAAGATTTGAATTTAGAACTAGGTGGGACCTTAAAGATAATATAGACCAACCCATCTAATTTTACAGGTGGATAGATTCCTGCCTTCAGATGATCTAAGTGTACTGACACTATGATTACTGATTAGAACCCGTAGCCCTGGGGCCGATATGGAGGGCCCTAATCGACAATAAGGGTGGGAGCAGGATGGTAATATTTCTAGCTCAAGAAATGGTAAAGTCAGAGAAATAAAGATGTGGCATATCACTCGGAAAGTTTGCCAACCCCTGTAAACTGAACGAACAGACTCCAGGGGGGATGTGAGGGGGGAGACAAGGGGAGCCTCTTTTGTGGAAGTTCTGCCTGTGGCAGGGGGCATAATATGGAACAAACTAAACTGCAGCTGCCTTTTGGCACCAGTTGGCCCTGATTTTCGGTTGACATTCCCCAGCCCCACCCCACTCCCAATTCCATCACAAACACATAGTTATACCAGCAACTGCCAAGAAAGCACGATTAAAAACAACAACAACAACAACAACAAAAACTCAGCCTATATTCACATGGCAAGGAGTCAGTTTTCGGTAGCATTCCAAAGAGGGATGGATGTTGCAATCGTCTGAGCTGGGATGTTTTCTTCTTTCTCTCCAGCAATTTCTTTGACTTACTAGGGGGTTGTTGAGTCCTGGGTCGGGTCAATTCTCTCCTGCTGAGCTGCATCTCTCCTCTCTTCTTACCCCACCCCCAGCAACTTGCAGAGGGAGTGAACCAAGTCAGGATAGGCTCTTTCTCTGGCCCTTCTTGTCACCCAGGATCATGATTTGATGTAAGTGACTGATTGCTCAAGATATTCTAGTAGCAGGAAAAAACAGGGGCCAAGTGACAGGGTCCTAGCTTGACCTTTAGTCTCAGCCCTCTGCAGAGGCCAGACAGACCAGGCCTGAAGTAGGCATTCATTGAATTGAATGATATACAATCCACTTATTCCCTCTTCAGCCTCTCCAGCACACACCACAAAGCATCCACTAGGTGACCCCAAAAGAGGTGATTAGAGGGTAGAAAAAGGCCAGCAGAGCCCAACTTTATATAATATGGTGCTAGATTAGGCATCAGGAGGCCTATGTGCTAGTCATGTTCTGTCGCTATCTACTCTATGACCTTGTATAGCTCACTTACTTCTCTGGGCCTTAGCTTCTGTAAAACAATGGGTCAAACTAGATGACCTTAAGTTCCCTTCCAGCTTGAACATCCTGTGTCCTATGGTCTACTCTAGCTCTAGCATTCTATGTTCTGACAAGCCCTCCAGCTCTAACATTTTATGTCCTACCGTCTAATATTCTATGTCAAGGTCAATCCCACCTCTCGTGTTCTGTGATTCTATAATTTTGTGACCCATTGCAAACAACTGGTTTTGTCTTTCCCTCCTACCCCACAGAGGGCAGATCCCTCCATCTGGCAATAAATTACCCCCAGACAGCGTTAATAGGATCCACTTGTGAGACAAGCCACTGGCTCCCAAGTCTAAGGCAATCCTGCAATAAACACTCACTCAGCTGTGGCTGCGGGTTTGGGTGTGCACATGTACTACATGGAGAGGCAGCTGCAGCCCCACTGACCAGCTGTGAACCAGAGGAAGGGAGAGGTGATAGTGGGGGGAGGGGAGGAGATGAGGAGGAGGCTGCGAAGGAGGGGATCTCATGGTGATGAGAGAGCTTTTTGGGAGGGACTCCTGCACCCTGGATTGTGGCACTCAGGATTCCTAGGAATCCAAATTATTAGTATAATTTATAGTGATAATAATTATCCTAACACTTTACATTGTACAGTACTTTACAGATGCCACAGAATTTTCTCGTATATTAGTTCATTTAATCCTCAGAATCTTATGAGGTCTGCTACTGCTAGGCAGGAGGAAAAACAAGATTTGGTAAATGATTAGATTTGGGGTTGGGGAAAAGGAAAAGTGAAGGATGAATGACTCCAAGGTTATGAACTTGGATAAGTGGAAGGATGGTGGCATCATCAACAGTGGATAGAGTACTGGCCCTGGAGCCAGAAGGACCTAAATTCAAATCTGGCCTCAGACACTTACTAGCTGTGTTACTCTGGGCATGTCTCTTAACCCTGATTGTCTCAAAAAGAAAAGAAAAGAAACGTTCAGTGTTCTAAGATCATAGGTGCTAACATTCTCCATTTCCATGGTTATAGTCTATGGTTTCTTCTTTCCACATTTCACACAGATATGCATGCATACAAACACAGAGGTCTCTTAGGGCTGACCAGATAGAATATTCTATTGAACCATTTCTTCCTGGGACAAATAATCTTTTATGGAAAGAATGGGGAAGATTTTAGAGAATAAGGACCAAGATAATTATCTTTTCCTCAATACCTAATGCCCCCATTTCACAAGCATATACTGATCCCCTTTTGCCAGGCCTTTGGTCCTGTATCCAGTCTGAATCCCATATGCATGTCAGGCCCAGGTAAGGGGTATTGATAGACAAATGAGTCTCTATTAGTAACAGAAAATTCCATTATTTTCCTGTTCCATTTTCCCCTTCAGTCAGCCAGGCTCAGCCTAAGGCAGGTGAAAGAATAAACCAATCACATCTATTTGCAAAGACCTTTGAGAGCTATTTTGGGTATATGCTCTGAATCCTAGAGTGTCACAGCTGGAAGGTGCTTTAGAACTTACGTGGCAAGAAAATGCAATATAGAATGTTAGGGCTGGCAAGGCCTTAGAACAAAGAATGTTAGAGCTGGAAGGTCCCTTCCATATCTTGGCAGTTTTTGACACTGTTTGACCCTCCTCCTGAATTTTTCCTCCTATCTTGGCTTTCCTGAAGTGGGCTTTCTCCT